ACCAGTGATAAAGATGGCTACTTTCTAATGATAAAAGTATCAATTTATAAAAAGAATATAAGAATCTCAACCTTTTATAAACCTAATAATAAAGTTTCAAAATGCATAAAGCAAAAACCAATAGCACTGCAAGTATAATTGGAAAAAGCGATGGTTATAATAAAAAAATTAATACCCTTCTTTTAGCAACCAATAGAACAATTGGAGAAAAATTTAGAAGATCATAGAAGATTTGAACAATACTATCAGCAAACTTGACTTAATTGACATTTATGGAATACTCCACCCAACAACAGCAGAGTACGTATTCTTTTTAATGGCATGTGGAACATTCCCATGATAGATCATATTCTAGGTAATGAAATAAATCTCAATAAACTTAAAGGAACTCAAATCACACAAAGTACATACTGTCACTGCAATGGAAATAAATTAGAAATCAATAACTAAAAGGTCCCTGGAAAATCCCAAAATATTTGAAAACTAAATAGCTTACTTGAAAATAACACATGTATCAAAGAGGAAGTTAGATGGTAAATTACAAAGTTTTGAAATGAATAAAAATAAAAATTCAAAATATAAAAATTTATGAAATGCCACTATGACAGAATTTAGTACCAAATTTATGGCAGTAAATGCTTATGTTAGAAAGTAGAAAGATCTCAAATCAATGACTTCAACTTCTATTTGGAGGAATAAGAAAAAGAAGAGCCAATTAAATGCAAAGGAAAAAGGACATAATAAAAAACAGAGCAGAAACAATGCAAAAGAAAACAGAGCAACAATAGAGTAAATCAATAAAACCAAAAGCTGTTTTTTTGTTTGTTTTGAGACAGTCTCACTCTGTCACCCAGGCTGGTGTGCAGAGGCATGACCATGACTCACAGCCTCCTGCCTTCCTGTGCTCAAGCAATCGTCCCACCAAAGTTGCCTGAGTAGCTGGGAACACAAGTACGTGCCACCATGCCCAGCTTTTTTGTTTTCTTTTGAGAAGATCTATACAGTTGATTTACCTCTAGCTAGGAAAACAATTGAAAAATAATTAGTCAATACCTAAACTGAGAGATGCCATCATCAGAGGTTCTACAAATATTAAAGAATACTAATGAAATATTATGAACAACTTAATGCCAATACATTTGACAACTTAGACAAAATGAATAAATTGCTTGAAAGATACAACCAAATAACATCAAGGAAGAAATAGTTAACCTGAATTAACATTATGCCTTTCAAGGACATTGAATTTCTGGTTAAAAACAATCCCACACAAAAAAATTCAAGCACAGATGGTTTCACAGGTAAATTTTACCAAACATTTCAAAAAGAAATATTATTAATTCTATACAAATTTTTCTAGAAAATTAAATATGAAGAAATACTTTCTAACTCATTCTCTAAAGCAAGCATTGCTCTGACACCAAAACCAAAGACATTACAAAAGTAGAAAACTGCAGGTGAATTTTCCTCATAAACACAGACACAAATATTTTAAACAAAATTTTAGCATATTGAATCCAACATTTATAAATAATACGTAATAATCATTACATATCCTGGGTGATTATTCCAAGATTGCAAGTTTAGTTTAACTTTCAAAGGGCAGTCAATTGTGATTCACCATATTAACAAACTAAAGAGAAAAAAAATATGTGATCATGCCAATAAATGCAGAAAAGATATTGAACAAAATCCAATATACATTCCTGATAAAAATTCTCAGTCAACTAAGAATAGAATAAAATTTTCTCAACCTGATAAATGGCATCTGTAAAACCCTACAGCTAAGGTCGTACCTAATGGTAAAAGGCTGAATGCTTTACTGAGAACAGCATCTCACAAATGTTTATGTTGAATTTTCATTTGAATTAATTTCAAAATAATTTGTCATTCCCTTTTAACTTTCTCATTGATGCATGTGTTATTTAAAGGGCAAAGATATCCACTCATCACTTTTTTTTAACATTGTAGTAGAGCTTATAAGCCAATGCAATTAGGCAAGAAATAGAAATAAAAGGCATCCAGATTGGAAGGAAAGAATAAAATTGTTTTTATTTATGGATGCCTAATGAGCAATGCAAGGTTATAAGTAACCAGATCCCCACGTGTTTGTGTCTTCCTACAATGTCAGAATTTTATCAATGCTATTTTATTCACAAATGCCATGAGCTACATGGAATTCCCAAGGAGGCATTTATCAGTACTACTCACTCACTTGGTAGTCAGAGCTGGGGGCACACAGGCTCAAGCCACTCCACAAGTCAGTCAATATTGCAAGCCATACATAATAGTATCCTTAATCAATATATAAATGTTATAGGTTAATCATTCCACAACAAAGTAATAATTAACATCAAGAGGAAAAAGAGTGGGAGAAGGGGTTGACAAACCAGTCCGGTGGGGGGGGGAGTGAAGACCCTCAAGACTTTGTGTGTGACATATACATGAATATATGCACATATGTATTTGTTTGTCTATGGGTGTGTATTTGTTGGTTGAGGAAGTAATAAAGAGAGACATGTTAAAAATTACTCTGATTTTCCGGCATAAACAACAGTGGGTGCATGGCGGTACCTTTTACTGAGAAGAGGGAGCCTCGGAGAGGACTAGATTTGGATCCTTATCAGCAAATTTAGCTGTTAAAAGCTGGAGATGCAGAACTACGTGTAAAAGGATCAAGAAGGGCAAACCTACATCACCTAAATTGTTTTTACCTTTCCCCAACTCCCCATGTTTCACTCTCTCATTTGGCACTGCACTGTTTTGATTTCCAAGAGCCCGAGTCCTTGCCTGCTCCCTCCTATCAGCTGCGGAGCCTTCTTGGGTAATCATCTACACAAGAGAACCACCTATATTCTCAGCGGGCACCTACCATCAGTTCTATAATCCTGCCCTCTAAGGATCTTGGGGAATTCAACTGTAAAAACCACCAGATTAGGCAACTAATCTAAGAGGAGGAGCAGCTGCAATTTCCCTCTAGGGACCATCATCCATGGACCCTGGAGTTTCACTGAAAATCACTGACATGAGGCAGATAGATTAGTAGGAGAAAAGACATATAAATTTATTAAACATATATATGGTGGGGGCCTTCAGAATAAAGACCCAACCCAACAATAAGGCCCGGAAGCATATACACCATCTTGAGATTTTAGAAAAAATGGGAGCTTGGATCCCAGTGAAACAGGTTGTGAGGGAGGGGAGAAGAGGAATTCTATTGAGGGGCAGTAAATGATTACCAGGGAGAATGATTGGATCTTGGGGAACAATAATTAAGTTGTAAATGATTCTTTTTGGAATTCAAATGATCCTTGGAGACAGTCATTATCTTGAAACGGTCTGTTCGTGTGTGGTTATATTTTTGGTCTTTTATCCTGTAATAGCGAGAAACAGAAAGGGAGAAACCTATTGTTCCCCTTGATGGGTCTTGATCCTAAGCAGATAAAGCAACTTCAGTTTATTTGAGAGAGATGCTGAGTATGGGGTAGGTTGGAAGAACTTGAGGCTTCTTCAGTTCAGCATGTTGAAATGCAGTATTTTGGGGTATGGGCTTCTGAGCCCCAATATCCCAATAATTGTTTTTTAATTCCTCAGCTTTGAATCTGGGTCCGTGGCATGAAGCGCTGTGTCCTTGGTCCCATACATTTTCTTCTCAAATGCTATTTATCTGTTCAGGAGCTTCTGTTTACAAAGAGGTTAGTGAGGATGGATGGGCGACCGTATAAATTATGGGCTGATTTTCAAACACGAAGGTGATAAATGAACAGATTTTCCCCCAGATTGCTGAGCAAACATCAGCAGAGCAAACCAATGTAAAGATATAATCATGATTAATCTCTTGATTAAAATAATTAATCTTGGTTAATTCTGCATTTAATCATTTCTTTTTATCAATGTCTAACATGCAGCTTTATAGAAATATTCATTTAGACTAATGGATATTTCATTTCTCCAATTAGTCTGTTTATTCCAAGCTTCTAAATGCCTCAAACTCCAGCTCTTTCATTTGTAGAAAACTTCAGTCATCTGATCATAGCTCTAGGCAGAATGTTCCTTTCATACCCAAGAAGTCTGCACAACATTTGGCTAAGGACAAAAAGAGGAGTGTGCCTTAGAGGATATAAGGGAGACAGGAGAGTTTCAGGGACTGAAGGAGGCTATATGGTGATTCTTATCAAACATTTGCTCAGGGATTCAGAATTTTCCTCAGGTCATTAATTGCCTCTCATGGTAATAATGTCATGCATTTGATAGGAATTTACAACTCATTCTTTCACATCTAACATGTGGCAGTTCCCACTAAGACACAGAATTATCTTTCCCATTTTATTGATGAGAAAACAGATGTTTAGAGAGGTTAGGTGGCTTACTCAAATTTATGTGGTGAACAGTAAAGGCGATGTTGGATTCTCAGATGCCCAGTGGTCTTCTAGTTCGATTACATAATGCAAAACAAAACAGTGTGCTGGTATAAGATAAAGGGCTGTGAATTCTTAGTGGACGTACTGAGGGAGGCTGGGCAAGCATTTCTCCTATCTCTGTGAAGAAGCAGAAGAAGCAGTAGATTATTCAAGCCTTCAATTTTTGGTGCATACATTCAACAAACATTTTTTGAATATCTACTCTAAACCAAACACTGTCCTAGGAGTAAAAAAATGTATCAGGGAACAACAAGAAAGTCTAACACTGTAACTTCCAATCCAAGCGAGGACACATGGATATCAAGTTTAATGCCTGAATCACTGAATCAAAGCTTATCCAACACAGGACTACAGGAATACATAACAGGAGAGGGGTTCAGAGAAGAGAGGCAGAGAGGAGAGGAAAGGGTTGGGTTGGGTACAGGGCTAGGAGGAGATGAAGTTGCCCCCTCTCAGCCGCTTGATGTAACATTACTCTCACCTGATTTATTTCCACTATAGCACTTTAATTTCATCAGAGCACTTGTGCCATCTAAACTTACCTGATTTATTAATTGGTCTTCTTGTTTTTAGCCTCTCTCTTTCCACTAGAAAGTAAACCTTTGGGAGACATAAACTGTATCTTGTTCTTTGCTACATGCTCAGAATATGAAGCAGGACTTGGCTCATCAGAAGCACTGGGTAAATCCTTGTTGAATGAATAACAGGAAATGTATAGGGTATGAATGACATTAACTAACACTTATCACGTATCGTGCACTTAATATGTACCAAGCTCTGTTCAAAGTTTTTTACATGCATGATTCCATTTTATCCTCACAGTATTTCTAGCTATCATCCCCATTTTAAACATGAGAAAATGAAAACACGGAAGAGGTTATACTCATTGAACTACCAGCCAGTCTGACTCCAGGGCCTGTCCCCTTGACTACTATGCCCTGATACTCTATGAGATGCTCTGGTAGGATACATCCACCCTACATTGTCCTTGGGTGCTTGATAGACCCTCAGATTTCCTGTTGCCCAGAGCTTCTCCACCCTGGTACATAACCATTGCCTTGGGCTGGGTGTTGCACATTCTATGAATTTTGATGTATTTACTCTTCTCTAAATTATCACAGATTCAAAGCTATTTTTAGATGATAAATATCTCATTTATTTTGATTTTGATTTCTTTAGTAAGAACAGAAAGCAATGGAGTATAGCAAAAAGACAGGCCTTGGCCACGATCACTGTCTTCCACTGTCAATCCGCAGACAGAGCAATCCTAACATGAATAGGCCGATGACCCTGAGAAAGCCTTCGGTGGGAGGAAAACATCACCACAATGTAGGTGCACCTTTGGGACTGTGTCACATACATATATCTCTTCTGCTTTGCGGAAGAAGAAAATGGCTCTGATTTAGTCCAACCCTGCTCATTGTGCTAGTTTGGTATCTGAGCCTCAGAGAGGGAGCGTGGCTTATTTAAGGCCACAAAGTAATTTCAGTGGAAGCCTCTTACAGGCCAGGCCTCTGTGAGGCCTGCCTCCAACACTGCAATGCAGAATTGTTCAGAATTTTCCCTATATTCTGGCCAAACCAGTGATGCTTTTTCCATTGCTCCATCTGAATTCCAGTCTCATCACAGCTCCTCTAAAATCCTCCTCCACCTTCCCTGAATCTGCCCTTACTCAGAGCCCAGCCTTGAGCATTAGACATTGTGGGGATTACCCCTCCCCACCTCTAATTTTAAAACAAGATACAAAGTTTATAATGCAATTATAAAATAGATTTAGAAATACTTTTAAAACCACCCACAATCTTATAACCTTAGTTTGTTTTATTGCCACACTCTAACTTCTCTGATTTCCTTTTCTTGCAATGCCAGATACAGTCCTCTAGACCTGCATAGACCTCAGTCATCGGCTTCCCAGCTTGAAGTGTCTGCAGGCTATGCTACTGACAGGGTAATAGGATGATAAACTCTTGGATGTTGCATGAGAAATCGTCTAACTTGACTCCTGACTTCTGCACATAGGGAAACAGAGGCCAAGAAAGGCAAAGGTAATTCCTCAAGTCACACAGCTGAAAAGTGGCATAGTTGGGACTTGTACCCACCTTATCTTTCTAGCTCTATTTTTTTAAGCATTCCCATCTATTCTAAAGAAGACCTTTTCTGGACACCAAAGCCCTCTGTCTTAGTTAATTTCTTGCTGCTATTAATAGCATGTATAGCATGTATAGCATGGTTTTTTGGTGTTTTTTTTTTGAGACAAAGTCTCGCTCTTGTCCCCCAGGCTGGAGTGTGATGGCACGATCTCGGCTCACTGCAACCTCTGCCTCCCGGGTTCACTCCTGCCTCAGTCCCCCGAGTAGCTGGGATTACAGGCGCCCGCCACCACGCCTGGCGAATTTTTGTATTTTTTAGGTAGAGATGGGGTTTTACCATGTTGGCCAGGTTAGTCTAGAACTCCCGACCTCAAGTGATCCGCCCACCTTGGCCTCCTAAAGTGCTGGAATTACAGGTGTAAGCCACCGTGCCCAGCTCATAGCATGGTATTAATATTAACAAAATACCTGAGACTTGGTAATTCACAATGAACAGAAATTATTTTCCACAGTTCTGCTGGCTGGGAAGTCCAAGATCAAGTCACTAGCAGGTTTGGTGTCTGGCAACGGCTGCTCTCTGCTTCCAAGATGGTGCCTTGTTGGTGCGGGGGGAAGGAACATGGCGTTTTCACATGGCGGAAGGCGGAGGGCAACAGAACTGAATGCTGAGTGAAGCCTCTTTTACAAGGTTTTAATCCCATTCACAAGGGATGGGTCATCATTGCCCAATCATATCTTAAAGGCCCTGCTTCTTAATATCACCACACTGACATCATTTGAATTTTAAAGGGGGTACCTTCAAGCCATAGCACCCTCCAGTGTCTCCTGGGGACAACCAAAGCTTAATAAATGTCCAACCCACCAGCAAAAAACCTCCCCTGCACTCGAAGTCTCAAAAGTCAGCCAGAGACATACTGTCTTGACTGCTGCCATTTATAGAGTATCTATTGTGTGCAGTCACTGCAGAAAACTCAGCAAAATCACCCACAATAGCCCTGTGGGATACATGCTATTATTCTCAATCTGCAGCTAATGAAACCGAGGAATAGCACAGCTAAGTGATTCACCCAAGGTCATACATCAAGTGGTTGGACCCCACAATCCATTTGTGTCCTTTTGTCTGTATCATTTTCCCTCTCTTATGAGACAGAGGTTGAGAGGTTGAGGTATGAGATTGTGATGCTTCTTGCTTAGGTAGTATCTGAGAGTAACTTGACTCTTCAGATTAACCCTAAACCAACATAGGGATTTGATGCAATGGGACAGAAGACAGATATGTTTACTTGCAGGACTTGTATATATCTATCCAACATGGCTTTCAAGAGAGCTTACTAAGAGCCAGCCCTGTGTGAGGATACAACACTGGGCAAAGTGTGTGATCTAGAGAGAAGGTTTAAGCTCTGCGTTCCCAAGCTGAGGGCACTGTTAGGATTTTCTTTCTTCTCTCTTTTGACTCTTTGAAATTTCCCTCCCTTGTGTGGTGAATACGAGAGGGACCTAGTGCTTCCTTCTGCTTGACGGAAGCTATTTTCTCTCTCTAGAAAGAGAAACAGTCCTGTTTGAGCTAGAGAAACAGTCCTTTCCAGTCCTTTGGAGAAACATTCTTCCCTAACCTCACCATTGGAGTTGTAAATCCTGTGGGCTGAGATAATTTGTGAATATCAGATAAGGGGCCTGAGTCACTGCCTGACCATGTTCAAAGCTGAAGGCTTCAGCCTTTTTCCACGTAGGCTTCCTGACTCTTAGAGCTACTTGTAATGTCTAGTTCACTGAAATTTTGCAGTAGCTTTTGGAACAAAATCCTGACACAAACGCTTTCCAACTCCAAGTGGCCTTCAGAATCATGAGAATGAAACAACAATAGAAGCGTCTGTGCTACTGCCAGATACTGTGTTTTAATGGGTTTGGATAGGAGTACATATCTAGGGCTGAGAGTCATTATGTTCAGAGTAATAAAATGATTTTGCTAGGGGAGTTCCTTTCTCATATCCATTTTTTGATTTGATGGCAGAGTGGGCAACTGGCTAGGGATTTGAGCATTTGGAGGCCCTGGGACCAAGCCAAACACCATCTCTTCATTCTATAGGGCTTGTGCAAGGTTCTGAGCTGGTCCCTGCCCTTAAGCATTTCATGTGTTGGTAAGCAATATGAGGACTCTAAACGAAAGAAAAATTGGAAAATGATGATGTGATGGCATTTCCTTCTCTCCTCTGCCTCGCCCCCAAAGAACCCGGATCTGAAAGGAAATCTTAACTCTTTCTGCTTCAGAGCCATCCACGGCCCCAGCTTCTCTTTTAGTGAGGCATAGAAATAACAATCCTTGGCTCAGTTTTTCAAGGTCAGAAAAGGGCTGTGAGACACTTCTTTCTGGAGAAAGAGAAGTGCAAGGTATGCCCCTTGGAGGGAGAGGGACAGGCTGCATGGCCTCTTGCCTCACTAGCTGCAGATGCACTTGTTCCACCTAAGCAGAGACAGAAATTCTGCAAGTCTGCTTGAGATTGGCATCCTTTAATTAATCTCATACACCCTCCTTATTCAGGAGGTATAATTGCAACTTTGAGAGCCATCAGATAAACTAGATGTGGCATGTCACTGGTGTCCAGACACAGCCAGCTGTGTTGCAGAGGGGAGTACATTTCGAGGCCTGGAGCTGCAGGGCAGAAGGGAGATAGGTTGGAGGACGTGTGTGCCACTTACATTATTGAAATTGGATTCTTCCTGGCTGGGGACCCATCGCCCTGTGGAGTCAGATCAATGTTCAGAGCACGATGCAAACTCATGCTAGGTTTCCACACAGGCCCCGCCCCCTGGCTTTTGACAGTCAGTTGTTCAATCAATAAACAATTACTGGACACCATGCTGTGTTCTGGGCACTGGGCTGGAGATTTATTTATTGCTGCTAAGTTTGAACTGTGCATAGGCACTGGACTAGATGTTCCTTTCTTTGCAAATATGCTCTGAACCTTTCTAATGGTACCTATAATTATCAACCAAAGTAATGGTAAATTTTTGCCAGGTGCTGTTCTAAATATATTTATGTATATTCAGGAATTTGATCCTTCTGACAACCCTCTGAGGGAGCTACTATCATTATTTAAATTTTGCAGATGAGGAGCCTGAAGACCAAAGAGGTCACAGAGCTGGTAAGTGAGAAATCCAGTGACTGAACCCAAGCAGTGTGATGCAAGAGTCAGCACTCTAACACACAATCGATGTGTGTCTGCACAGCATTAGGTCCATGTCACGATGGGGGATTAAGGATATTGCTGTTGTTTAGATTCTGCATTGTAGAGTTCACACTGCCTCAGTCTGAAGCTTGTATCCATTGCTTACTCTCTGCATAGCTTCTTGCAAGTAATTTAAATTCTTTGTGCCTCATTTCCCTTATATGTGAAATGGGAGAAATAATAATTCTAATATTTAGGATTATTGTAAGGATTGCATGACATAATATAGGTTAAGTACACGGTAGTTTATCAAGCATAGAATGTGGCATGTGGTTTCGGTCAGTAAATATTAGTGATGATGATGATGATGATGTTAATATAATAATGGGTTAGCTCTCGGAAAATTCATAGGCTAGTCACAAAGAAAGAATTTCCATCACTAAATGTTTTACATTCTAGCTAATTTGTGTGCAAGAATTGTGGGGGATGTGAGCAAACATGCAACAGATACATGATTTTCAATAGGTCCTTGAGGGCAGTGAATTTGTCTTGTTTTCCTCTGTATCCTCAGTTCCTAAGCATATGTTTCACAAGTAGATGTTTACTAAATATCATACATTTAATCAACCAATCAACTCATTAATCGATGGATGAAAATACCAGATTAGATGAATGTCTGGTGTATAATATCCCAGAAATTTATGGATTCTGGCCTATGTTTGGGCTCGTACTTCTATCACATCAGTGCTAGTGTTCAGAGAAAGGAGAAAAAATATTTGAAGCATCTTGAGATCTGGACCTTGAAGGACTAAGGAATGTGGTGGGTGTTGTGGCATCAGTGAATAACAAGATATCAAAAAGTGCAAGGTGCATGTGGAAGACAGGGCCAGGTCAGTCTGGCTGAGACAGAGAATGCTATTTAGGTGAAAAAAAGGAATGAGACTGAAAAGGAAACTTTGGAACATGATTGTGAAACACTGTGGAGTGTGGACTTTAACCAGCTGGCGTTAAAACATTTCCACTGGCTGTGACATCCCCGAATAGACCCAGAAACTGGTATGATTGAAGCTTGGAATTTTCAATAAGACACACTTGGAATAACCCAAGCGAGAGGTGATGAGGTCCAAGAAAATCAGTTAAAAAGGCAGACATGCCTCATATTAGTGACTGACATGGTTTGACTGTGTCCCCACCCAAATCTCATCTTGAATTGTAGCTCCCATAATCTCATGTGTTATGGGAGGGACCCAGTGGGAGATAATTGGATCATGGGGGCAGGTTTCCCCATACTGTTCTTGTAGTAAGTCTCACGAGATCCAATAATTTCATAAAAGGAAACCTCTTTTGCTTGGCTCTCATTCTGTCTTGCCTGCCGCCATGTAAGACATGCCCTTCACCTTCTGCCATGACTGTGAGACCTCCCCAGTCATGTGTAACTGGGAGTCCATTAAACCTCTTTTTGTTTGTAAATTACAGGTATGTCTCAGGTATGTCTCTATCAGCAGAGTGAAAACAGACTAATACAGTAACTGATGAGACGTTGAGATAAGACAGAGGAGGAGTGCAAGATTATAGGGGGTGCTGATCTACTAACTATGGGCATCTCCTATTAAGTCCCCTCGTGTCTCCTCTCATCTCTCAGAACAGTTTTCTGTTGATCATCACTGAACCTACCTGACTTTCCAATGTTGCTTTGGAATCTAGGGTCATTCCTGACAGTGAGTTATCTGTCTCTCTCATTAGTGAATGTCTCATTAATGAATGACTTAGAGAAGATCCCACTGCATTTTTGCCTCTGTTCCTCAGAGACATCTGCAGATAGAAGGGGAAGCTTGGTAGAGATACAGGCTCAGTCATTTCACCATCACTCAAGTACTCCTGTAGTCAAGTCACTCTATACTTTCAAGTCAATCTATATCATCCGATGGTGTTAGATCAGTGTCTTTCAATCTTTGTGGGGGTAGTACACTGAGGGATTGGAAGGCTCTAGATCTCCTCTTTGGTTCTAAATGAAACAATATTTTGTGGTCCAGTTCCTCTACAGAGTTCAATACATGTATAAATTAATAAAAAATAAATGAAATAATTATTGATACAGAATTTATATACTTAAAGATAATGAACTTTATTTGTGAGAAGTACCCCCCAGTGTAGGTACATATTATGAGTTGAATTTTCTAGTGCCTTCAAATTTATATGTTGAAGTCCTAACTTCCAGTACCTCAGTATATGATCTTATTTGGAACTAGGGTCTTTACAGAGGTAATCATGTTAAAATGAAGTCATTGAAGTGGGACCTAATCCAATATAATTAGTGTCCTTTATAAAAAGGAGAAATTTTGACACAGACACCCACAGAAGGAAAATGATATGAAGAGAAATAATGAAAAGATGGCCATCTATAAGCCAAAGAAAGATACCTGAAACAGATTACTCTCTTCTGACCCTCAGAAGGAATCGACTTTACTGACACCTTAATTTGGGACTCCTACTCACCAGAACTGTGAGACAATAAATTTCTACTGTTTAAGCCATTCAGTTTGTCAGACTTTGTTACAGCAGCCCTGGGAAACTAATACAGTAAAGACACCTAATAATAGTTCAGCATTTTAAAATACAGAAACAACATGTACATATCCTTTTTTGATTGACATAACTTTTGAGGGGAAAAAGCATATTAATATGATTGTTGAGAAAATAAATGTTTAGAAATGATATTGTTATAATAACAATGGTTCTAATCATCATAATAGTCATCATTTTCTGGGTTAGTATATACCAGGCACTCATCTAACAATTTCAAATCATGAGATAATTTAATATTATTTATTCTATTTTACAGATAAAAAACAAGACAGTGAGAGAGAATGTAACTTGCTAATGGTCACACAGCCAGTACGTGGCAAAGCAAAGACTCCAGTCAGATATTCTTTATTCAGAATACTTTCTGCTACATTCTTTCTATGCAAAGCATATGGAATTGGGTTGAACGTTCACTTACAGGTACAACAAGTAGTTATGGGTTAGCTATTATGTAACAGAGGTTCCTGAACAAAAAAGAATTAGACTTCCAGTGGAAAGATAAACAATAAATAAATATATACATTTATAACATTATTTTTGTAATGATAACTTCAATGAAGAATAAAGGTAGAGTAAGGGGTAGAATGTAGTAGAGACTATTGAAATAAAATTATCAAGTGATGACTTTCTAAGGTGACATAGAATCAGAACTTAAATAAAGCAAGGGGTGGATCATGAAAACACAGGGAGTAGCTTTGTCAAAAATGGGTTGACCGTAAATGTGTGAATTTATTTCTGGATCCTCTATTCTGTTCCACTGGTCCAGCTGTCTACTTTTATGTCAGTACCATGCTGTTTTGGGTATTATAGTTTTGTAGTACACTTTGAAGTCAATGTGATACCTCTGTCTTTGTTCTTCTTACTCAGGATTGCTTTGACTCTTCTGAGTCTTTTGTGGTTCTATAGAAATTATAGTATTGTTTTTCTATTTCTGTGAAGAAAGTTATTGACATTTTAATAGAAATTGCATTGAATCTGTATATTGCTTTGAGTAATATGGACATTTTAGCAATATCAATTTTTTTCAATCCATGAACATAGGATATCTTTCCACTTTTTGATGTTCTCTTCAATTTCTTCTGTCAATCTTTTGTATTTTTTATTATAGAGATCTTTCACTTCCTTGGTTAAGCTTATTCCTAGGTATTTTTTTTCTAGATATTATAAATGGGATTGCTTTCTTATTTTCTTTTTCAAATTGTTCACAGTTGGCATATAGAAACCCTGCTGATTTTGCATGTTGATTTTTTATCCTGCAATGTTACTGTGTTTGTTCAAGTTCTAACAGTTTTTAGTGGAGTCTTTAGGTTTTTCTAAATATAAGATTATATTGCCTATAAACAAGGACAATTTGACTTCTTTCTTTCCAAATTAAATGCCCTTTCTTTATCTTGTCTAATTGCTCTGGGTAGGACTTATATTTCTCGAGCAAGATGTTAAAGGTACAGGCAATCAAAGCAAAAATTGGCAAATGTGATTCCATCAACATAAAAAGCTTTAGCATAGCAAAGGAAACAATTAACAAAGTGAAGAGACGACCTACACAGTAAGAAAAAAATATTTTCAAACTATTCAGCTGACAAGGTATTAATAACCAAAATATATAAAGAACTCAAAAAACTCAGCAGCAAAAATAATAGTAATAAGCTGAATAAAAAATGGGCAAATATCTGAATAGACATTTCTCAGAAGAAGACATATAAATGGCCAACAGGTATATGAAAAAATGTGCAATGCTACTAATCATCAGGAAAATGCAAATCAAAACCACAACGAGATATCATCTCACTCCAGTTAAAAAGGCTATTATAAAAAAGACAGAGAAAAACAAATGCTGGTAAAGATATGGAAAAAAGAGAACACTCATATGCTGTTTCTAGGAATACAAATTAGTACAGCCACTATGGAAAATAGCATGGAAGTTCCTCAAAAAACTAAAAATTGAACTACTATATGATCCAGTGTTCACATGGCTAGGGATATATCCAAATGAAAAGGTATCAGTATACTGAGGAGGTATCTGCACCCTTCATGTTTGTTGCAGCACTATCCATAGTAGCCAAGATATGGCATCAAAATGTTCATCAACAGATGAATGGGTAAAGAATATTTGAGACATATATAAAAATATATACACAATGGAATATTATTCAGGCATGAAAAGTAACAAAATTCTGTCATTTGCTACAACATGGATGGAACTAGAGGATATTATGTTAAATGAAATAAGCCAGGCACACAAAGACAAGTATTACATGTTCTCACTCAAATGTGAGAACTGAAAAAATTCATCTCATGGATTAGTGAATAGAATGGTGGTTACCAGAGTCTGGGAAGACTAGTGGGGAGAAGGAATAAAGTGAGGTCATTTAATGGGTACAAAAAACAGTTAGATAAAAGATCTAGTGCTCAGTAGCACAATAGGGTGATTATAGCTAACATTCTTGTATATTTCAAAATAGATAGAAGAATAGATTTGAAATGTTCCCAACACAAAGAAATAATAAATGTTTGAGGTTACGGATATCCCAGTTGCCCAAATTTGATCATTACACATTGTATGCTTTCATCAAAAGACCACATGTACCCTATAAGTATGTTCAAATATTATATATCTATAAGAAAATTTAAAATTAAAAAAAGTGAATGATTCTCAAAATTATTATGCTGAGGGTGAGGGAAAGAAGACTAAAAAAAAAAGACCATATATACTCCATTTTAGAAATTCCTAGAAAATAAAAACTCACTTATAGTGACAGAAAGCAAATCAGGATTCAACTGGGAATGGAGGAGAGGGTGGAAAAGAACAGAGGGAGGGAATGCAAAGAAACATGGGGAATCTTCGGGAGTTATGGATTTCATGTCCATTATACTTTGATAAAACTGTTTAAAGAAAAAAATATATATAGGGAGGAGAATATAGTGGCAAGTACTGGGACTGGTGCTGGATTTAGCAGGAACAGTGGTCGGAAACAAAGCAGCTAAATTGATAAGTAACAGCCATGGTTAGAATCTGGATCATATCCCTATGGTAATGCATCACTTAGGAAACTTGACTAATCTAAATTTTCTTCATGTAACAAGTCTGGAAATCAGCATTATAAAGCTGGTAAAAACGTTCTTGGAAGTTATCAAGTACTAGAACTCCTCCTATCTTTCTGCTCCATGATGCTCAGCCTCTGGCTCCCAACCTCAGAATTGCAAGACAGTTTTTGACCTCCAGGCATCGGGGGAAAAAGGGAAAAGATGAAGGAATAACATTGTCTTTAGTGCAGGGAATCATTAATTTTTACTGGAGAAAGAAGCCCTCAACAGGGATTTTTACCTACACCTTATCAGCAAGAACTCTCAGTTGGGCATTCAAGGTGCTGAGGAGTCTGACAAATTGAACAGAAAGTTCAACTCGTCCATTGCTGGGGTTCTGTTTGTAAGAAACAATAGGAGAAGACACATTGAATAAACAAATATCAGAGCCTGACCCTGCTCGGTCACCATCTCTGGAAGGTATGCCTTGGAAAAAACATTGACACAGGTGATTCTGGAATAGAACTCAGCTCACCTCCTACTGGCTACATGAGCATGGTAGTTTCAGTGTTCTCTGTGAAGTTCTGTGTTCTCATCTTTAAGGAGTGGATTGGGATGGATATGTATCCATTATATTTGTAAGTGTGTGTATGCATGTATATGTATGTGGGGGTGTGTGTACCTGTATCGATCACGATGCCTGGACTAGGTAAAGAATTCTATATATGTTGAGTACACCTCAGTCTTCTCTGTCACTTATTGCTATACAAGTGAAGAACAAAGTCCACGGCATGTTTTGCCTTCAGAGGCCGGGTACTAACTCTGAGGAGAAGTGCATTCAGAAAATAGGAACTTTGGGGGCTGGGCGCAGAGGCTCATGCCTGTAATCCCAGCACCTTGGGAGGCCGAGGTGGGTGGATCAGCTGAGATCGGGAGTTCGAGATCAGTCTGACAAACATGGAGAAACCCTATCTCTACTAAAAATATATACAAAATTAGCGGGGCATGGTGGTGCATGCCTGTAATCCCAGCTACTCGGGAGGCTGAGGCAGAAGAATCACCTGAACCCGAGAGGCAGAGGTTGCAGTGAGCCGAGATTGTGCCATTGCACTCCAGCCTGGGCAACAAAAGCGAAACTCCATCTCAAAAGGAAAAAAAAAAAAAAAAGAAAAAGAAAAAGAAAAGAAAAGAAAAAAAAGAAAAATACCCCTGAGCTTTATTATAATGCAAGATGATATCCACATCATAGAGTGACTGAAAATGTAAATTGAAATACTTAGTGCATAAAAGACTTAGTATTGTGTCTGGCATATGGTAGTTATTTATGCAAGATAAGCACAATTTTAAATGTTCTCTGGCTTGTTGACTCTTTGGACATGAAAATATTGGCAAATGGTCAAAAGAAGACATAACTGGCCAACAGGTATATGAAAAAATATTTAATGTCACTAATGGGAACATACAGCAGTTTTTGAGAAACATCTAGAACACTCAGCAGCTTGGGATGCACTTCAGTGCCCAATTCCAGGCCATCCTATAGGCCTGTGATCTAAAAACCTACTGACATTAGAATTTTTCTACAACAAAATCTGAAATATTTGACAAAATATAAAAACAAAAACTAAGTGTACATCAGCTGGTTTCCCACTGGGGTAGAGATTTGCTCTGGATTTTTCACAAAATTGCAGCAGGACAGGCAGCAGCCTATTGTGGCGAAAAAATAGAGTTCCTTTTTTATTGCAGATGTCTGTTTCAAAGGAGCAGTCCACCGCCCACCCCACCACTACCACCTGCTACCTCTTTTCCCCAGAATCAATCACAGGTCATTTTGGTACCTTCATTGCTTTATCTTGCAATCACTGCCCCAAATATAGATGCAAATATTGTTTTCTTTGTCAGAAGCACCTCCCATGCTCACATGGTGACTTAGCAGCTCCTAGCTTCTAAGAGGATTTCAGTGTTTGTGCAAACCTCTCATTTTCTTTCAAAGGAGGGATATTTCATGACCTAGTTCCCTAGATAGGACAGGCAGGGCAAGAACATCCCTACCTCTGGTGCTGAAAAGAGGTCCCTCTTCTTCCTCCAGTCTCCATGCCAGTACCACTCCTAGGAAATGACACAATGTGTGGAGGAGGAGGAATAGCACTGAGCCACCTGGATATTCCTCAATACTCCCTGACAAGCCCTTTCTCTCCTAGGACATTCAGTCTGATGTGCTGAGGAGGCCACTCATCTGTCCTGCAGGTCCAGGTCACAGTCAGTCTTGACCTGAGCTTCAGCTAATGGTCAGGATGAAATGGTGTGGCCAATCACAACAGGGTGCTAGAGGAAACCCTTGATAGCCACATAGACATAGACACAAAGCTTTTCTTAGGAAACCCTCACGCAGGCAACAACTGCAGAAATAAAACTTTTGTTCCAAGTTTTCCCATGTTTCTCCTTTAAATGCCGCCTCCCTCCTTCTCTTCTCTTCTCTCTTCCTTCCTCCCTCCATTCATTCATTCATTCAGCAAACACTGCTTTAGGTCACTATTGGTGTGTGGAGGATAAAGATATTAGCCATAATTTCTTCCTTTGGAGGCTCATACCGTAGCACTATAGTGTGGAAGACAAATACATATGTTGATAACTGTTTTATAACCACACAACAGAAAAAAAATATATATATACACACACATACATACACACATGTATATATGTGTTTTCTGTGTGTGTGTGTGCACAAAATTGTATATGAAATGAGTAAAGTCATGCTCAAGAAAAAGTTGAATATAAGCTGAAGAGGCTAGTGACTTTGTTAGAGGTAGTAATCAAAAAAGTCTTCCCAGAGCTTAACACTGGAGTTGGGCTTTTAAGGATGACTAGAAGTTCAATATGGAGGTCAGGTTGGCAAAGAAAACCTTCTGTGAAAGAAACAGATGTAGAGGCATAAAGGTGAACAGATTGTCAGCCCAGGTGGCTAGATTGAGAAGAAGAACCCGTCAAGTTGATGAGGATGGAAAGGAGGTTCTGGTGTGTGAATAAACATTGTAAAGGTGGAGACTGGAGAGAGAAATTGAGATCAGTATCATGGAGGCCTATTTACACTGGGCTTAGGTACTGGAAATCCGTGGGAAAGACTTTGGTCCATGGTCATGTACACAGATAATGTAGGTACAAGGTAATACCTAATGCAAGAGTTTGTTCCAGTAGTTATGAAGAACCTAGAGGTCAAAGAAGGGTATATGGAAGAGATATTTGAGCAAATTTTGGTAGATAAACAAAAAGATCCTGGTTAGAGAGAGATTTTTTATCAGCTGGTAAATATGAGAATTAAGGCTGATTTTTCATTGCACACTGGTTGAGCAGCCACACCAGTTTTTATCATTCTTTCATGCCCATGCCATATTGGTTATTAAATATTTTGAGTTCCACCTTAGTATGCACAAGTTAGTAAAGACTGCAGGGTGTATTTGGAAAAAACTACAAGTATCTAGGCTATGAAGTTACATCTAATTAGATTCTTTGTTGAAATTAGGAAATGAGGATTACAAGTGCCAGGAATTAAGGACATGGGACAGAGAGAAGAAGCACTGATGGGAAAGCTCAGATCAACAAAAGGTAGGAAGGAAAGCATGAAATTTCACTGCTTAAGACCAGTTGACAAATATCAGTTGATGAGGCTCTACCCACTATTCCTAGCCTTTACTTCTTCTTCCCCACGTTGAAAACTCAAGGACAAAATTCTGAAGTCTGAGCTATTTTTTGAGTTTTTTTGAGTTTTAGTCACTACATTAAAAACTTCAATTATTTTGAATTCAGTTCAACTCAATGACCAACAAATATGCTTGATGATTACGGATTCTACCTACAAAATAAATTTAAAACTTATTTTCTTTCCTTCTTACACAAATGATCTTGGTCCACGCCATGATATCTTTTGCTTAAGCCAGTGTAGTACTCTGTCGATGATTCACCCTGTTTTGAATCTGGCACACTCACAACCATTTTCCAGGAAAAAGCTCTTAGATTCTGGCCGGGTGCAGTGGCTCATGCCTGTAATCCCAGCACTTTGGGAGGCCGAGGCAGGTGGATCACCTGAGGTCGGGAGTTTGAGACCAGCCTGGCTAACATGGCAAAACCCCGTCTCTACTAAAAATACAAAAATTAGCTGGGCATGGTGGCTGGCGCCTGTAATCCCAGCTGTCCAGGAGGCTGAGGCAGGATAATCGCTGGAACCCTGGGGGAAGAGGTGGCAGTGAGCCAAGATTGCGCCACTGCACTCCAGCCAGGGCAACAGAGCAAAACTCTGTCTCAAACAACCAAAACAAAAAAATAAAAAAACTTAAATTCTACATTACTCATTATTCACATCACAAATCATGTGATCGCTTATGGGTGAGCATTTAATGAAGTCCAGACTTTTAGGATGATAGCCCTGGAAGCTCTTGGAGGGATCTGACCTTTTTTTTTTTTTCCCCCCATTTTATTTATTTATTTATTTATTTATTTATTTATTTATTTATTTTATTTTTCCATAGGTTATTGGGTACAGGAGGTATTTGGTTACACGAGTAAGTTCTTTAGGGGTGATTTGTGAGATTTTGGTGCACCCATTACCCGAGCAATATACATGGCACCCTATTTGTAGTCTTTTATCTCTCGCCCTCCCACCCTTCCCCCCGAGTCCCCAGAGTTCGTTGTATCAATCTTACGCTTTTGCATCCTCATAACTTAGCTCCCACAGATCAGTGAGAACATACGATGTTTGGGTTTCCATTCCTGAGTTACTTCACTTAGAATAGTATTATGCATTCTCATCCAGGTCACTGCAAATGCTGTTAATTCATTCCTTTTTGTGGCTGAGTAGTTTTCCATCATGCAGATATACGACAGTTTCTCTGACTTTTGACTGATGCTAAACCTCCCAGCATGCTGTGCTCACCCTTGATCTCACACCCACATTCTCTGGCCTTGCTTCTGCTCTCAAGTAACCTTTCTTTCAGATATCACCACTGCTTGGAATATTCTTCCCAGAGAGCTTCTTATCATTCAGGGTTCTGTTGAAATGTCACTTCTTCCAGGAAGCTTTTTGTAACTACCGTCTTTAAAATATGTTGATGTTTTGTATTAACCACCTATTGCTACATCACAAATTGCCAAATCTTAGAAGGTGAAAAAAAATCCTTTTAAGAAATCTATCCTCACTCTGATTTGTTTCTTATCTATTTGATTATTTAAATTTTATATTCAGAGGGTACCTGAATATAAGTTAGCAAGTTGGTTACATAGGTACACATTTCATGATGTTGAAGTTTAGGCTTCTATTGAACCCATCACCCCAATACTGAGCATAATACCCAATGAATAGTTTTTCAACACGTGCTTCCTCCCTCCCTCCCTCCCTCCCTCCCTCCCTCCCTCCCCCATTTTGGAGTTCCAGAGTCTATTTTTCCTATCCTTACATTAATGTGTATCCAATGTTTAGTTCCACTTATAAGTGAGAACATGTGATATTTGGTTTTCTGTTTTTGCATTAATTTGATTAAGATAATGGGCTCCAATTGCATCCAAGTCACTGCAAAGAACAAGATCCTTCTCTTTTTGATGGCTGTGTAGTATTCCATGATATACATGTACCACATTATCGGCTCTACCATTGAGGAGCATCTAGGTTGATTCTGTGTCTTTGCTACTGTGAATCGTGCTGTGATGAACATACGTGTGCATGTGTCTTTTTGGTTGAACAATTTATATTCCTTCGGGTATACACCCAGTAATGGGATTTCTGGGTCAAATAGTTCTATTTTTGGTTCTTTGAGAAATTACTAAACTGCTTTCCATAGAGAGTAAACTAACTGACATTTCCACCAATAGTTTGTGAGTATTCCTTTTTCTTTACTCAAGATAGAAAGTGCGAACTTTAAATTTTTTTTGAAATAAAATATACACAGATAATGTACAGTTCTTTTTTTTTTTTTGAGATGGAGTCTCACTCTTTTGCCCAGGCTGGGGTGCAGTGGCATGATCTGGGCTCACTGCAACCTCTGCCTCCCAGGTTCAAGCGATTCTCCTGTGTCTGCCTACTGAGTAGCTGGGATTACAGGCGCCTGCCACCACGCCTGGTTAATTTTTGTATTTTTAGTAGAGAGGGGGTTTCACGATGTTGGCCAGGCTGGTCTCAAACTCCTGACCTTGTGATCCACCCGCGTTGGCCTCCCAAAGTGTTGGGATTACAGGCATGAGCCACTGCATCTGGCTGATAATTTACCCTTTTTAAGTGCACAGTTCAGTGGTAATACAAACATTTATATTTATTTTTCTCTCGTTATTCCTTCCTCCTCTTTCCTCCATTCCTGTTAACTCCCAATCTACCCTATCTTCATGAGATTCACATTTTTTAGCTCCCACACGTGAGTGAGAACATGCGGTACTTTTCTTTCTGTGCTCGGCTTATTTCACTTAATGGAATGGCCCCCAGTTTCATCCATGTTGCTGCAAAGGACAGAATTTCATTCTTTGCTATGGCTGAATAATATCCCATTGTGTATATATACAACATTTCCTTATCCATTCATCTGTTGATGGTCACTTAGGTTGATTCAATATTTTGGCTATTGTGAATAGTGCTGCAATAAACATGGCCGTGCAGATATCTCTTTGATATATTGATTTTCTTTCTTTTGGATATAAATTCAGTAGTAGAATTGCCGGAGCATGCAAAGTTCTATTTTTAGGTCTTTTTGAGGAAACTCTATACTGTGTTTCATAGTGGCTATAGCAATTCACATTCCCATAAACCGTGTACAACATTCCCCTTTCTTTCCATCCTCATCAGTATCTGTTACTGCCTGTCTTTTTTATAAAAGCCATTTTAACTGGGGTGAGAGGATATAGCATCATGGTTTTGATTTGCACTTCTCTAATGATTTCATATACCTGTTGGCTATTTATATATAGATGATGCGATCTTTTTATAACCTAATCTCAAAAGAGATGTCCCATCTCTTCTGCCAAATTTTATTCATTAGAAGTGTTTTGCCACAAATGCATGCATGTCAGGAGGTGAGAATCATCGAAGCCCATCTTACTGGCTGCCTACTAAACTCCCTTACTTTCATTTTTCTTTTTTTGCTTTCATAACATTTATTGTGATTTGTACATATAATACTAATGGTGTCTTTTTTCGCTATTTGATTCGCACTAGATCTCGAATATGTATTTGTTGAGTGAATAAATGAACTTGACTTAATGCAATGGAGCACAAAGAAACACAGAAAATACTGAGCATTTCAAAAACAACAGAAAAGAGCAAGACACAGTCTCTGTATCTGGAAAATTGATCATTGCATCAATGAGAAAGAGATAGATACGCAGAATGTACTACAGTGAAAGAAAGAATTTATAAGAAGACAGAAATAAGTGTTATGAGACTACAAATAGGAAGGCACTCATATCAGGGCAGTTTTTGGAGAAGGTAGCATCTGAGCTGGGCTGTGAAAGATGTCAAGCAATTTGGGACTGCCGAGAAGTAAAGATGAGCATTATGCATAAGAAGGTATACACAAAGATACAGAGATAGAAAGCAGATGCAATATATGGCAACCAAAATTGGGATGCGTGAAGTAGTAAAAATACTTATTTGTTTATTTTTTTAGTGAGACATCATCTGACTCTGTCATCCAGGCCGGAGTACATGGCTGAGATCATAGCTCACAGCAGCCAGAAACTCTCAGCTCAGGTGATCCTCCCAACTTAGCCTCAAGAATAGTTGGGACCACAGGTGCATGGCACCATGCCCGGCTAGTTCTTATAGTATTGTTGTAAAGATGGGGCCTCATTATGTTTCCCAGGCTGGTCTCAAACTCCTGGCCTCAAGAGATCCTTCTGCCTCAGCCTCCCAAAGTGCTGGGGTTACAGGCATGAAGCACTGTACATGACCAAAAATACTGATTTAAAAGATAGATTTATTCAGATCATGGAGGGCCTTAACTCACAACATCAGAAGTTGGATTTTATAAATAACAATGTTATCACTTTAAAAAAGTTGTAACATTCCCAGTATTGTGTGCCATCGTTATATTAATATATCTACGTGTGTGTGTGTGTATATATATACACATTCCCATATATATACACATACACATATATATATGGTTTGAACACAGATGCACATATATATGATTAAACCACAAACATTAATATTTAAAAATTTTGACATTCATACATGAAAGTTGTTTCTAAGTCAACCAACATTATTTCAAAGTAATTTCCATGAGATATTATTCTGAATAAACAAGTAATAAAATGGAGGCTCAGAGAAGTCAAATAACTTTCCAAAGGAGAGAGTACAGGAAAGTGGAGAGATTGGGCTTTGAAGTCAGGTACTTCTTATACCAAAGCTTACACTCATAACTCTTATGACGTACTGTTTTCCATAGTTTAATCTGTGAACAAAGAGCGTCATTAACTATTTGAATTAGAAGCATGCCACAATCTAAAATGTTTTAAAAACCACCATATTGAGTGAAAAGAATAATGGCAAATCTAGAAAATAACAACAGAAATTCAGCAGATAACAGAAAAAAAATTCTAAATGTATCAAGCACTGGATAAGAAAA